TTCCGATCACTCTCTCCCTCAATTTTCCCAGCTGTAAAAGAGAGATAATGAGACATAATGATTCTCTCTTTAAAGGAGACATCCAAAGTGACTAATCTAAGCCCATCTCCTTAATTAACTGTCTGAGCCTCAGGCTTTAAGCTGAGTAGGGCCTATATCTCCACACTGCAAGTTTTTTTACAGCTCATTTTAGGAGTGGGAGAGAAGTGGCTAGATTCTGGACATACGGAGCTAAGAAGTGGTGGAGTTAAGTCACTTGAGGTACAGAAATAGTGCATATTTTTCCCCTTAGAGCAGCTTCATGTTCTCATCTGTGCTCTGAATGTCCTTGGCTCCTGGCTTTGTAGTTGGGATGTCATTTCTGCCTTTTGAACCAAGCAGATATGTTTTGGAAATGAAGAGTAGCTGCTGATGGAGGTCTGACATCTGTATACAGGACGGAGGCCTGCATTTTGGATAGGATTGCTTGTTTTGTTTCTTTGAGAAGAATTTGTTCCCAGCACCAGTTATTTGTCACATGCCTTGCATAGCATGAAGTTCTCATGGCATTAGTGTCTCAGCATGAAATAGGATCCAGAGAGCTGGAAGCCATCCCTACGTGGGATGGGGCAGGAGGGGATGCTCAGGCAGTAAGTTCATTTTGTTCAGACTCTCTACACAATCCTAGCAAGAGGCGGTCCTTGTCCCGTAGCACTTGAATCAGAACAGATGTAGTACATGAGAAGAGAGGGGTAAAGATCTCATCCTCATCTTTTTTAAGCTGGGGAACTGAGGCATGGTGCTATTTGGTGCCAGGCTTGCAATCCCAGAGGGAGCTTGTGGGATCATTGGCAACTGAAGCCCCAGTGCCGCTCCGTGGGAGTGAAGTGACCCTAATGCTGCGTGTTTCACGTGCTGAGAATCCAAGGCCGTGGGTGGTAAATCTTCTTCATGCAGATGTGAGCAGAGCCCTAACAGCCTGTTGTTGCCGTGGGAGCCAATTTCAGTCCCAGCATTGCAGACTGGACACTGACATCACTCAGGACGTCAGAACGGAGGCTGTTTACTGACCAGGAGCTGTATTCTACACCAGCAGCGTGCAGGCAGCTTCTTATGGAGCTCTGTTGGGCTGCCATGTAAACAGCAGCTTATTAAATGATGTCCAGTTTGACTGACTTTATTTTCCTTCTTCCTTTCTCCTTACACCAGGAAAGTTAATAGGGATTGAATTGTGTCAAGGGGCTGGGAGAATGGATCACTCCAGACATGAGGAGACCTTTGAGTCAGGCTGGTCAGATGACTTGGACCCGGCAGATGATGATGGTGAAGAGAAACGATTCTGTTCCATGATGGAGCAGCTCGGAGCAGCCCAAATGTTTGAAGAGTAAGTAGGGGGGTTGCATGGCATTACTTCTACCCTGTTTTGATCTTGCAGTACCAAAACTTCAAAGTACCAGCGAAGAGCAAAGAGGTGAACTGAGCTGCTTGCTCTCTGAAGCACTGCTTGGGCTTTCTGTACTGCAGTCTTGGGTTTTCATATGCTTGGTAACAAATGCAGGGAAGTCTGAGTTTTCTCATCGGTTACCAATTACTTTTAGTGCAGTGCTTTTCACAAAGAGTTTCCCAAACTCAAGTTCATACCACAACTGTAAAACATAACAGTTGGTGGCACGGAAGCCCATCTGCACACAGCAAATGAAAAGAAGCATGTGAGCGTTAGACATGGTAAAGAGGATGAGTGTGCTGTCTGTTCCAAAATGGTGTGTGACTGTTCACTTATGTTCAGACAATCGTAGTTCTAAGAGTCTCTGTGACAGATCTGTGCTCAAGGGGCTGCTTGGGGCTGGGCTGATCTTGGAGAGTGTGAAAATCTGAACTGGGCAAGGGATGCTCACCTGAGCTTTGAAACTTGATATTAATGCCCTTGTATGTGGCCCCAGTAGAGTCTGCTGGCCCCAGTGTCACCATCCAGCCTTTATTTAGGGCCTTCCCAAGTGAAGCATTATGCGTAACTGGTTCTTGCTGATGCACATTCCCTGGGGTGCCCAACTGCATCTCCAGCAGCCCTTTTTTTCAGGCATCGTAGTCCAACAGTGTTGCCAGTTTGCAGGGAGCAGCCCAGGTAGGGGCAGGAGGCGGACAGGATTGGAGAGAGAATCCGAGAGTGAAGGAGTTTGCTGCTTTCAGAGCTGCATCTGTCATGAAACAAATTTTTTTGTCTCATTTGCATTGTGATGCAAAGCACCTGCATGTTTCTTTTAATGCTAAACAACAACTTCTGTCCTGAAAAATTCTGGAAAGCTGTTATACCTCAAATAATGGGATGACACTGTGAAAGGCTGTATTACTGTTCTGGAAAAACAGTCTCTGCTGTTTATAAGTCTGCTTTGAGACGCATCAGGTCTTAAAGTGGAATTATCCTGTGTTTTATGCAATGAGTTCAGTAGCTACTTCATGTCATGCCTTTGTGCCAAGCCAGCTGTTGTAAAGAAGTAATATAAAACAGAAGCTAACTGGGTTTGGAGCGGGACTCTGAAACTATAATCTTCACTGGTTTTGCTAGAAAGAAATGGTTTTGTTTATTAAATGGACTCAGTATGTTCTTTTATCTAAAACACGAAGTTTTGATAAAGTGCTAGTAATGTTTTCAACTTGGGATAGAAAAGGAGGCTATCATGCAATGGTGGCAGGGGGAATCAAGAGCTTTTTGGTGGTTTTATTTCCTTTGTTTTTTTCACAAAGAATATTAAGGGAGACAAATACATAGACAAAGAAAAATATATATTTAGATAATGTCTATAGGTATAATTATTCTGTGTATTTCAAGGCAGTTCCCCCAAAGTACTTCATGGATTTAAAAAAAAAAAAGAAAAAGAAAAAGCTCTTCCCTAAAAAGAAGCATGAAGTGATGTTTGCAGACTTATAAGACTCTTTGGGAAAGAGAAATAGCGCTGTGTTCAAGTTGAGATGAATGAAATGCCAAAACAGTGTAATCATTATTGCAGGTTCAGAAAAAGATGACTTTGGTTTTCCAGGGCTTCCTCTGTTGTTTCTTGATGTGACACTTGGGCAAATTTGCTTCTTTCTTTTTGTGCCTCAGTTTCCAAACTTGTAAAATAAATAAAGAAGGATGGTAGCATCCACCAGTGCAGTCCTGGTGTGAGAAAAACACCTATGTGATGTGTGCTAAAATCCCTGGGCTCTAACAGTTTGCTGCTTGACCATAGCTTACAGCAAATTTGCTGAATGTTCCTCTCTTCCAGTCTTGGTTTAGACACCAAATGTGTTATTGCTGAATACTTGGAAAAATAATTGTTCCAGGTTTGCTTCCTACATGACTTTTCTTTTTCTCTTTCAGATGACTTCCTTTATTTTAACCTCACAGTAGATCTCATTCTACGTGCATGCTTCATCACTGTCCAACTTCCCTCTTTGCTAGGATGGTGTAATGGAGGTCGTCAGAGGAGAAGGACAGTTTGTCTCTCCCAAGTGCATGCTGGAGTTGGAATATCAGTCCATAAGATGACATAGAAACTCATTTGCTTTCCTTCTCTTTTGTATGCTTGCTCCAGTCCGCGTGAGATTCGGGAGCTCTGGGCTCGGCTACGAAAGGAGCGTCCGGAGCTTTTATCCAATTTTGAAGAGTTTCTGTTGCGTGTTTCATCATACATAAGGGAGGTGAATCACGAGAAGGAGTCTATGGAACAGGCATTGAAGCGGTAAGGAGAACCTCATGGCCGTTTGCTGTCAGGAACCAGCTGATGCTTGGATTCTGGCTCTGATCCAAGGAGACACTGGGTTACAGTATGCAGAGAGTTTTCTTGATCTGATCCCCACAGGCTTGTTTTGCATCAGTGCCCACCCATAACATTTGGTCTGGTTAAAATCCCACTTGATGCCACATGGCTGTTAGTGGGAACCTCTTTCCAGCCTCCTCTCCCGTTTCGTTTCTGTATTCTCTTTCTCTCTCCTAACCTGTGTGCACCCTGCCTTTTGTAGGAAGGAGACAGACCATGACCGAGAAGTCAGGTGCCTTTATGAAGAAATGGAGCAACAGATCAAAGCAGAAAGGGAGAGGCTGATCTGCCAGGTACCTCATCTCTCTTGGTTGAAGTCAAACTTTCCCTGGTCTGAAGCAGAGGCAGTGGCTCATCTGGCCAAGGACCAGCACTTACCATGCCAGGTGTTGTATGCACAACTGTGTATCTTTACCTCTGCAGGAAGCACTGAGACATGACAGGAGTAACCTGCTCCAGAAGGAACTGCGCAGCAAAGAGCAGGAGCTGGAGAAAATCCTCTACCGCCAGAAGAAGGTAACAGGACCCAAATCCTTTCTAAAGAAGCACGTCCCCTTCTGTTGCCTTCCTGCTAAATCCTTTTCTGACTGAGAATGGTTTTCATCTCCTGAGGGTTGGTGCTAGCTAATCTAGTTCTCTCCTGATTCTGAAGGTGTTGAAGTGGTTTGTGAAGTGATTGGTTTGTCTTCGACTGTAATGTCTTCCTGTGAATGTTTTATCCATGCATTTTCTTGTCTGCTTTGTTTTCTCTTGGCACAACCTTCCAATCAGTAGTAAATAACTATTTGGCAAGGAAGACGGGGTAAAACTTCGGAAGTTGTGAGTTTGGAGCCTTTTGTGATGTGTAAGAAGGCTGTATATGGACATACAAGAGCCAAATTTATCTAGTTTGTGTTTTCTGGCTGCTCCAAAATAACCCAGAGTGAACGGTTCTGTGACGCCTAGAGCTGTACTGTATATTTGCATTTCAGCACCTAATGACGTACTGATTAATCAGTCACAGAGATCAAAGCAGAAACTTTCCTTTAGCCTGCCGTCCCTGGCATGGACATTTGTATGGGATGGTCCATTCTGGATGTCTTTTTCCTTTTGGTCTGAAGAACTGAGGCATGACCCCCACAGAAACAAGTCATGGAAGGTACCTGTAAAATGCTGGCAACAGGGGGTATCCAAGCTGGATGCCTTAGCTGTGATGTGGAGGAAACAGCGCTTCTCTGCATCATGAACTGATGATTTCAGCAGCTGGAAAAGCCAGGAAAACTTAGGTGCCATCAGGAAGGATACTGAGAAAAGACAGAGGATGTAAGGATTTTTTGCCACAGGAGGCAGGCAGTATCAGCAGTTCAAAAACAGATTGGACAAACAAATGTTTATTAAAAGGAAGAATAGTCAGGGATGTGGCCTCTAACATCCCTAGCCCAGGGACCATAGATGCTGGGGGTGTATGAGGGGAATGGACCATAGTTAGGTGTCCAGGCATGCTCTTCCTTGGTAGCATCTCCTCTTGCTGTGGGTCAAGGCAGAGTACTGGGCTACATGGACGCTTATTCTTACTCAGATGGTCATTTCCGATCGTCTTAACTCTGAGGCTTGTACTAAACTATGTGGATTATCAGGTCCCTCTTGTGGTGTAAGACCAGTATTGTGATTGTGCTGTTCTACCGTGTCGCTTCCGAGTATGGACGACATAAACGGGCGAGTTTATGATTATGAGAGTGACAGAGATTTCTTAGGGAGGGGCAGGTGTGCTTTACTTAAAGCCTGTCCCCTGGCTTATTGAAAGATCCAAAAGGCTATGGGCAGGGCTTGCTGTTTCTTAGTCTCAACTCCACTGCTCAGCATTTGTGGTCATGCTTGAATTTTCCCTGATGTCCAAAGGACTGGAAGTCTCCAGTCAAAGCTGGGTGCGACTTGTGTTTGTAGCCTCAGCGGGGAGAGATGTGGGGCTTGTGTTTCAAGGAACTTAGGAAAGGTCAGCTCTGTTCACTCCTGTTCCCGACTGTTGTACGCGTGTGCTGGCAGAGAGCAGGGTAGCGAGAAAAAACCTCTTCATTTTGTGCCGTGGTGGCCGTGGTGTGCTGCTTTACTTTCCCTTTGACAATGGGAGAAAGTAGGCTGAGAGAAAGGTATAAATGGGGAAGCTGACTGTGCCACCTACTACAGTGGTCAGAACTGGTTCCTGGTGCTCCTCTCTAGTTGTAAGCATGGATTGTATAATTTTGTTTTGGGGTTGTAAGTTCTTAGGTGGGTACCACAATTTCTGCATAGCACCAGCTTCAGCAGAGGGCCCTGGTTAGCTGGTGTGGCTGGCTAAATAGTAAAGTGGCAATGTGATCCTTCTTGCCATGCCCCACTTGTCGTATGAGATGGGCAGGTTTG